CCATGTTTCTTGGTTGCGTAAGGCCTCAGTTTGCTTATTTATTAAACGCAGTTACAAATAGAACCCGTCTCATGTGGATTTCACAGGAAAAAGCAATGTGAAATGTGTCACGTGCAGGGCCCAGGATGCCGCTGAGAAGGATGGCAACGTTGAACGCCTGGGTACCGGAGGATGGGTATTGACAGGGAGGCGGTTTGGACACGAGGCCCAGCATCTGTCTTCCTCCAGACAATATTTTACCATTCGCCCTCACCTTGGGAAAATCTCGACATTTGGGGCCGATGCTAGGGAAGGAGGAAAAGCCTGTCACTTGTCAGGAGCACGTGTCCCGCAGTCGGCCGTTTGCACTGGGGATCCAGGAGCCTTCGTGGGCTCAAGGCCTGCAGCAAGGGTGAATATGCACAGCCCCAGCCCCTGGGGCCACCGCCTCTGGCCTTGACTTTCAGGGGTGGAGGACTGCGTGAGGAAACAGGCAGAGGAGGACGAATGACCAGAGACAGAGGAGTCAGGCAGGATCTGCTGCATCACGGGAGAGGGCTGGGAGCAGAACGCCCAGGCTTCAGAGCCAAACCTCTGCATCTCAGTCTTGACTCTATCCTTAGGCACGATGGCAGCAGCCAACTGTTCTGGGTCTCAGTGTCCTCATCTGTAAAATGGGGACAGCCAGCTCCCTCCGAGTGTTGCTCTGAGGACTAAGTGCCAGGCACGTAGCACGTGCTCAGTGAATGTGAGCGCTGTCCGGAGCCCGAGGGTGAGGGAGAGGCTGGGGGTCCGCGAGCTGGGACTCCACCCCCAAGCTCGTGGGCTCACCTGTCTTCCCCGATTCCCCTTTCGTACTTAGGCTTGGATTTTAGGGCCCTCGTGCCTTTCACATACAAAACCCAATAGCTCTTCAGTTCCAGGGTCTCCAGGACCTGGCAGGGAGGAGACTGGTTGGAGTGGGGAACTGGAGATCTGGGACCACTTGGCGTCTAGCTTAAACTCTCTGTACCAGTTTCCTTATCTGTAAAACAGGGATAAGACATCATAGTTTTTCTACAGTAGGTGGAACACATAGTTTTCTAGTTGTTCTAAACAATGGGTCTACGTTTATAGACCGGAGGTCTACAAATATTTCTCTGTGAATGGCCTGGAGCTGTTATCGGGGCCTCCTGTCCTGCCCCCGGACCAGCAGGGTTCACCAGCACTGTGTCTCAGTATACTTTGGGGCTTGCCGTGGAGCTGGCTTCTCTGTCCCCGAGTTGGGGCTTCTAGGAGCCCCGCCCAGGCGTTAGCCAAGCTGGAGGAGCTGATCCTGGTGCCCTCTCTGCTGCCCTGGTTTCTGGTTGAGCTTGAGGCTGGAGAAGCATGGACCGACACCGCCCTCTGGTGGCCATCTCTTTAAAAGCAAGGAGAAGAGTGCAGAGACTGGGTGACAATGCAGGTCCATGGCCAAGGGTTTCGGAGTCCCTTTTGGAAAGGGACAAGTTCCTAGGACCAACAGCAGCTTCATGGAGAAAACACTTCAGATTGCTGACCTCAAGAATAGGAAGCGAATACATTTTTTGTTGTTTCAGGCCGTTAGGTTTGTGATAATTTGTGGCAACAGTAATGGGAAACTAATAGCATCGGACTCTGTGTTATGTGAAGCTTTGACCCCTCCACTGAAGATCCCCTCCAGTGGCCTTTGTGTGACACCTGGGAAAACAGTCTGCCCATCAAGGAGTCCCCCCAGCCTCCCCACCTCTTCCCCTTCTCCCCTCCCTCCCTCTCCGATTCCCCCTCTGTCCCTTCTTCCCTCCTTCCCTTCCTCCGTCACCTCTGGGTGAAGAATGCCGGTTGGGGCAGTGGCTCTGGCTGGGATTGGTCACCTATTCCTTATTGCACTCTGGGACTTTTGTGGCAGGTGGTGGCCCCTCTGGGCCTCAGCTTCCTCATCTAGCAAATGGGAAGCAAAGCTGCATGGTTTTCAAGGTCCTGACCGGCAGGTCCCACCTATGGCACTTATTAAAATGCACTCTCCTGGGCCCAAGCCCCAGAGACTCTGACCTGCGAGCCCAGGTGGGGCTGGGCATCAGCGCTCCTCGGGAGCTTGCTGCACACCCAATTTAGGAAGCAAGCGATCCTGGGATCCAGGCCATGTCCCCAGAGTTATCCCTTGGAAGCATGCCACTCAACAGCCTGCTCCTTGGAGCCTGAAGCATGAAATCCCTGCTCTGCCATTTCCAAGCTGTGTGACCCAAGACAAGTGCCTGTGCCTCTCTGGGCCTGTTTCCTCACTGTAAATCGGGATTAATAATAGTCTACACTTCAGAGGGCGGTCGTGAGGATTCCATAGTTACTAAGTGCAAGTTGCCAAGAGCAGCGCCTGGCACAGAGTAGGTGTGCATGCATGTTTGCCCCTGAAAATTACCAGCTGCCCAGCATGGCATTCAAGACCCAGCACACACCCGGCCCCACCCGGGGTCTCTCATCGCACCCCATCCACTCTCTGCGCCCCTGTTGGGTTGTGGTCACGTGAGCTGCTCGCGATGGCTCAGGCCGGTGCCTGCCCACTCCATCCGGGTGCCCATCCTCCTCTCCACCTGGATGGCTCTGACTCACCTTCTGATCCTGCCCTGGGAGTCTCCCTCCCCTGCTGGGTCCCTCCGTGCCTGGCATGTGGTTCAGGAGGTCACGCTTTATCGCCTGACTTCACTGTGGGACCTGTGGCCCCTCGAGGGCGGGGACAGTGCTTTCTTCAGGGCTTTGGAGGCTGCTCAGCACACTTGTGAGGGAGGATTGGCTGTGAGCTCTCCTCTTTACCTTGATTTGTCCTGTGGAAATTGGGGCCACAGTGGTGACTACCCCATGCGTCCCATCCCTGTGAGTCAGCAGTGAGTTGATGCCTCCATGCCTGGCCAAGGACCCCCCTTTCACCTCTGTGTCCCACAGTCAGAGTCACTACACTCACCTGGGTGGATCTTCACGTGACCTGCCCTGAAGGCAGATCCTAAGATCTCGGGAAACCACACCTGTTCATTTGTAAACATAGTCACTTAATGTTGAAAGCCAGGCAGCCACTGTTCAGGGGAACCTAATACTTTCCCCGAGTTTAAACTTGTAGGTTAAGTTTTTTTTATATATATATAACATTTAACGCCAAATATGCTATTTATGTTTCATTTTAAACTCTTTTTAAGATCTGCATGAATTTTGGGAGTCTGCCATTAGGACATATTTTAGATAAAACCTACTTCTTCTCCCCCAATTTTATAAATAGTCAAAAATAATTGAATTCAACTCTCTGAAGAATTTCTCATTGGAGTCCTTAAGAGTTAAGTCTAAGAAAAACATTATGGTTCACTGTGCTTGTCATTATAAGAGCTTGGGTTCACAGCCCTGATGACTGTAAAGGTTGTTTATTACAAACCTCTCAGTTTATAAACAGAACACACTAATATTTCATAAATCGGTATTGGGGTCTTCTGCATGGTACTGGTTCTGTGGGCGTGGTGTTATCAAGTCTTGCTTTTTCTACACTCTGTTCTGACTCCAGTTGGGCAGGAGAAACCCACCCAAACCTCCCTGCCCATCACTCACAGGGGACGATTCCTTTACCAGCAGCACTTCTGTTCCTCACCTGACCCACTCTTCAACACCCTGAAATGTCTCTTCTTCTGGGTCTCACTGCCCTAAAGGTCTCACTCTAAGCAGTAAACTCTGTGAAGCACCAGCCGTGAAGCCATGAAGATGCCCGGGTGGGTCCAGCTCCTTAGCTCCTTGGAGATGCTCCTCGGAGATGCTCCTCTGCCCACGTGGAAGTCCTTGCTCCTTTGGAAAGTGAATCCAGCTGGATTCCAAGCCTCTGGGTGCCGTCTCCTCACCTTAGGGCACCCACAATGCCGCCAAAGCCCCAACCAGCCACCCACCGAGACAGGACTCACTGGACTGTTGAGGACAGACTAGAAGCTGGGTGGGGCACAGGGGCTGGGTCTTGTCGAGGGGACGTGGCAGCTACAGGAAGAGACTGCGGTGGACGGAGGTGACAGATGGCCTGGGCGTGAAGGTGTCCGAGAGGCAGCACAGAGCTGGGTTCAAAGCCAAGCTTCCTGTCCACCTGCCGGTTGGAGTCCCAGCCTTCTCCACGAACCATGTGTGTGATCTTAGGTCACTTCGTGCCTCTGTGCCTTGGTTTCCTCATCTGGGCAATAACTGTACCCACCTCCTAGGGTGGGGCTGTCAAGATTTAGGAAGTTCTCTCTTGTCAAGTCCGTGACACCGTGTGAGGGACAGTCATCTGTCATTTGTCACCCCTCACTATGCCCGGGGACTCAGGCGCCAAGAAATGAGCCTCCTTCCCGAGGTCTCTGGGTGGCTCCAGCTCCAAACCCCACGAAATCGTGCACTTAACTCCACCCCCACTATCGATTTACTTCCCAGATAGAGTCCTCAGCTTCCCGCCTCCCTGCACAGGCTCCCGGCTCCCTGGGCCTCTGCTCCGCCCTCTCTTCTCTGATTGGAGGAGCCTCTTGTCTCCTTTGGGCCTCATCTGAGGAGCCTGCGGGAGGTCCAAGAAAAACCATCACTTCTGACCTGGTGAGAAGATCCAAAGGCTGGACCGCAGCCTGCTGGACCCCAGCCCTCGGTCTTCCTAACTCTGGACCATTTGGTTGGGATTTTTGTTTTTAATCGGAGTGACCAGGATTGGGTGGTTTTCCCATCTCTTTCCAGAAAGGGAGAAAGGCAGAATGGAACTCCACCGCGCAGATCACACGAGGAAGATTCTGGCAGCTACTCCCTGCATCCCTGAACCCCAGCGTTCGGCCCCTAAGGCACCCACATCATGGGGAATATTCTTGGGGGTGGCGTGAACAAGGTAGGTGGATTTGCATTGGGATAGGCTGCAGCCAGGTTTCCTAACATCGCTGGAGGCCCTGGGCTGCCTGCCTGCCCTCCTGACCATCCCCAGGGGCTCCCAGTCCAGCCCTGGGCCTCAGGGACTCAGCTGATGGAATTTGGCCACGAGGCTTGCTTGGGTTGTGGAATCATTTTTATTGTCAGTACAAAAGAGCAACACTTCGGAGATGATCAGCTAGGAAAAAAGACAGGTTGGTTGTATTAAAAAACATAAAATACAAAACTGTTAACCAAAAATAAAATAAAAGAATATTTAAAAGCATTCCTGTTAAGTGCTGGGACTTAGAAAATGAAACAAAAATACAGCTCCTTAGACCTAGGACACTGGGCTATAAAAAGATGTGCCCAGGATGCTGGGAGGAGGCATTCCTGTTGGTTCCTTGGTGTGCCTAAGCTTCCGGGTGGGGCGTGGTCACCCCGGCCTGGCGATGCTGGCTGGGTCTGTCCCCACGGACAGTTCTGGGGCCCAGATCAGCCCGTTTCCTCCGTCTGAGTGCAGGCAACTGATGGGTGGGCTCCCTGCTCTCTGAGGCATCAATGTCCTGCCGTGTCTCTCCTCTTCTGCAGACTCCCATCCCTGTCCCCAAGGGGCAGCCCTGGCCAGTAGCATCTCACAGGTCCGTGGACATTAGGTCGGAAGTCTGCTTGCCTTCTTCGGCAGGTTTGCTGGCCAGCTGCGTGGGAGAAGAGAAACCCGAGATGGGATGCTCGTGAGCACCAAGCCACTCACGAGGGCCCCAGAGCTAACCCCTCCCAAAGCCAGTGAGCCTGAGCTGACGGGACCAGAGAGGGGCTGTGCCGTGCAGTGGCTGGAGCACAGGCTTTGCTGTTTCGTGGACCGTGTGAACTTGGGCAAGTCTCTTACCTAATGCCGTGAGCCTGACAAAATCCTCACAGGGAGAGTGGGCGGTCAGATGGGATCGTGTCTGGGAAGGGCTTGGCGGGACGCCTGACCCAGTGCACGCCCACAGGGAAGCTGCCGTCCTCACAGCAGCTGAGCCCTGCTTTAGTAGCACCCCGAGGACAAGCGTGTCCACGGTGCCTTCATCTTGAGCAAAGACCAACAAGTAGCAATAGGACACGGGACTTGAAAAGGCAGGGCTTGGAAACTAACTTTTAAATAGTAGGATTTTGTAATAGCAGTTGAACAGGAAAGTTCCTCCAAAAGAATGAAAACAGCACTTTTAGCCGCCCAAGACAGTGGGCCGTGGTGGCTCTGTGACAGGAGCACCAAAGGGCGATTTACGCAAAGGACAGCTCCTGGCTCTGAGGTCCCAGGGGCCCTGCTCAGCCTCTGGCTCATTCCTGCAGCCCAGCTGGGCTCCGTCCTGCTCAGGGGAGCCACCTGGGGCCCAAGAGGAGAACTGCACCCTGGGCATTTCCAGCCAGAGTCCCCACCCGAGGGGGCCCTGCCCACGCCTCCCTGGGAGTGACCCCGTGTGACCACAGGCTTATACACACACACACCCCGTTCACATGCACCCCC